AGTGTTTCTGCTCATGAAGTCCAGGATTTTCTTTGTCTCCTCAGCTTATACTCTTGGTTTTGTGATCTGTGCACCAGTGATATTTAGCTGCCTTCACTAACTTTAACCTCTTGCCCTTGATTTGAATAGACTGCATCTGTTGTGTGAGCCTATGCATAGCCAATGCTGCAGATGTATTCACACATGAATCACTCGTTTCTGTTCTGAGCGAGCGCTTATCTCCGGGTTAGCACAGTATTTCAACTCTGCATGTAAAATCAACCGAATCTGAAAAATGTTCCCATGTGGCCCCCTCAGATCCAGCAGTTGTTTTTATGTACAGTAACTCATATTTATTCTACAATTTCATTTAGCAGCCGCTTTTATCCAAAGCGACGTACATCTGAGAGCAGATACAACACAAGCAAGGATCTAGTCAGGAGAAAACAATGTAGATAAGTGCCATAGAACCAATTCAAGTGTGATAGGGAATGAAGGTAACACTTGCAAAATGTAAAACTGAGAATCTGCTCACTCATGGAATGAAAACCATGATAATTTATGCAGCATCATTTTCTTTCCACAAAGAAAAGGCAAGTGTTATATACCAAGATTACACATCATCACTGTTGTTCACAGTCTGAGGACTGAACAAACAAAAACTGAACGCTATCAGAGGAGAATCTGAAATAAACAAACTGTGACAGGAAACATATGAACACCGACATTGTTTCTTCACTCGCAGGTTTTAAGATATAACCATGTTAGAAAATGTTTTTGACAGAAGGAATCTTGTCTAGAAGATGATCCTGGTATCAAAGGAGGTCAAAGTGACACCTTTCATTGGCTATAACTTGTTCTGATAACCACCTATCATGCAGGCCGATATGAGCCTTAAACGTTGACCAAAAAAAGCACTTTTTAAAAGTACCAATGCTTGTTTCTATAACTCAGCGTTATAGACATTAAGCTGCTGCAGTTTTGCCGTTGAAGCTCTAATATATCTCACAGTGTTTGTGCTCAGAGAAAATCTTGGTGACCAAAAGTGAGATTTAGTGGCACCTGGAGTGGATGTAAAGTTGTTTTGGTTGCACTTTCTAACAGAGCTCAAATGTGTTCCCTGACTCATGCTTATGAAGTTATGAGGTCTCAAAAATGCTGGAAAAAAAATATCACAAATTAAAAAGTGCGAGACTCAGTCCTCTGCACTTGAAGGGCCTGTAACTCTGAAAATACTCATAGTGTGAAGGTAAAGTTTTGCATAATTTCATTAAACATACTGAAGCTATTGTAACAAAATGAATCAGCTGATTCTGAGTGAATAAGATAATATAAGAGGAGCCTTTATTAGTCCCATGCTGTGAAAATTTGCAGTGTTGTGGATAATGCAATCGTGTAGCAGCAGGGAATAAAGCTGAACTAAATATGTACATAAGCACTGATTCTTCCATTCGTGGGTATTTAGATCTTGCACAGTTCCTCTGCATGTGGAAAATAACAATATTGCACATATCAGTGGTTTTACAAACATTCTTCCATGAGTAGAAATGCTGATATAAAAAATACTGAATCAGTTGGGAGGCACTGATTGATAGTTGATGAAATAAACCAACTCTAAGACCTACTTTTGTCATTCCCACAAACACTGTGTTGTTCTAAATAAGCTTCAATCACATCAAGTAGTGTCACATAAAAGACTTTCTTTTTTTTTTACCCAGGTGGCTCATGTTATTTACTGCAGTTGCCTCCCATGCTACTCTAGTATATTGACATGTAAAAGTGGTATTTATATCTGAGGGGCGAAAAAAAACAACAGTGAATTTCAGATGATATGAATCAATAAAGTGTTTAAAACTTTATTTCCCCAGTTGATTTTTAAGCCGAGCCTTTGGGCTGCGAGTATTTTCCGCATTATTTAATTTGGCCATAATTAACACAGAAATGATTTAGTATCTTCCTGATGAAATTACTTCAGGGACAGTTGCACACCTAGAAGTTCTAAATCAAATAAAGCTGCGGAAAATTGAGTGTAACGTTTTTGTAGATATGCACGATCATCCGCTTTTGTTATTCATTTAATCCAGCCGGCCACGAATCGGTCGGAAATGCTTTGTTTTTTCACTCTCCTGGCTGATAGCGTCCCGTTTAAAGTTTAAGCCTAATGTTCAAGGATGTGCACACAGTAAGTAAAAAGCTGATTTGTGGAGCGCTGGCACCTTTTATAGTCTACATCAAGCACTTCTTGTTAAACACAAAACTGTGGATGTAAAGCATATTCTGCTTTTGTTTCCACTCTGAACGAGACTCCAAACAAAGTGCTCCAGACATTGTTAATCGCTGCACCTCTCCTTTCACTATCTGTGGCCATATTCCTCCTCAGAGAACATAAACTTCTCAGTGAGCGTATTCAAAACCCTTTCAAGTGGAGCACCGAATCCTCTTTGATTATCTTTGTAATTAAGTATGCCGCTTTAAAATGATCCTCCTCGCTCGTGTCCGTCTTTAGATTGAGTGTTTTTAGGGGCGGCTGGATGCCTGAGCGGCTCCACGGTGAAGCTCATTGAGTGGCCTGCTCACGTCTGAGCTGTGTGGAAGGGCAGACAGGGGAGTTTCCCAGCAGCAGCGAGCCAAGCAACAGCACATACACATTACTTACCCTGGACTCAAACTTGAAGAAGATCCATCATGAAAAAAGTCCTGCCAGTCCTCCTCATCTTCTTCAGCAGGTCCCGGCGGCTCCCTCCGTCCTGAACTCCTCTCGTTTTTTTTTATTTTTTTATTTCCGTTTGAACAGGCTGCACTCGCGCCACCACCCAGGCAGCGTGTGGAGCTCCGTCTCGCAGCATGTTTCCAGATTTTCAGTGACCTTGTTTATCCCTGTGTGGTTTAATTAGCCGAGATGAGCTGAGTCAGGCACAGCGGGGAGTTCACTGTCTCCTTAGCTGAGCCACGATGGACACACACTGCATCCAGCATCTCCTCCCACCACTTATTTCCTTCTTCCATCCAATCAAAACACCCCTGACCCTCCTGTGGCTTTCCTTATAGTCCATCATCCAGAGGTCGACGGTCAGGCCCTGGGGTTCTATTAGCACCAGGAAGCTGCAGGCCGGCCAGGATACTCCTCCTCGCTTTATCACGGTGGACAAACATTACAAGAAAACGCGTTTCATTTGGTGAAAAATGAACAAGACAGATATAAGTTTGAGTGGTGGGAGAAACCAGATGGCCTGTTGCCTGGATACCCAGCATTCTCCTCACTGCACCGCTGACCAACCTGCTCAGCAAAGGAAATTATAAATGGGTTGGATGTGTGTGTGTTGGTTAGTTTTGTTCATTCTGTGCCTGTCTAGATTATGTCTTCTCAAGGAGACCTTAAATAATTACACGAAGAACATCAGCAAATGCGTCAAAGTGGCTGGAACTTAGGATCAGGCCATTATTTACCCACTAGTGTTTTTCTTTCTAGTCTATTAAATGGAGGTTTCTGAGAACGAATGGGGTTGACGAGTGCAACCTTTGGGTCCACAGATGTCTTCTGCTTTATGTTCCCCTCTCGGAGCTTTTAACCAAGATGAGAGACTGTTGTTTCTGTGATGGCTAATTTAAGAAAATGCTTTGAATAGTTTATGTGTATTAGAAATAACTCAGATCACATGCACAGGAATTAACTATTTTTGTATTTGTAAATCTTCAACAATGACTTTCACATCTTTCATTTTTTAAGTTTCTTAAATGTCCCATATTGTGCTTTATCTCTGCAAATTAATGGAAGTCTCACATGTCTTTCAATTTTTTAAACTACTGCAAAAATGGTTCATTTTACCAAATGTCCGTCTCTTTTCCTTTTCTAGACAAACTTTTTAAGTGGCTGTAGCTTTAAGGCTCCTGTATTGTGCCCCTTTTGAGCAAATTATTGAATGACTCTCATGTGCTTAGAATTTAGCTTTTACATTTTTCTTTGCTTACAATCCTGCAAAGATGATTCATTTTATCATGACTGTATGACTCCAGGTTTTGGTCCCGTTCTAGATTGGCTGTTTTAGTTTCAGGGGCTTTAAATGCAGCTGAGATGCTTTTGTCAACGCCCTCTCAGGAAGAAGACTTTCTGACAGCAAAACAGCTGACCGTACAGCAGCTGACATAGAAATATGTAAGAGCGTGAGACCAAGATCCCTTCTAACGCGCTCTAAGTGATTGTTTTTGACACGGAAATATCACCAAATTCACAGCACAGTTGCTTTTTTAAACTTGTGTCTGGATA